TTTTTTATAAATAAATAATATAAATGTATTTCACATCGTTTTGATTTTAATTGGAGGTACTCGTCAAGTATGAAAAATTCTACTAACAGCTTAATTGACCCCTTTTCTATTGAAACAATTGATATATTCACTTCAGGTCAACACTTATTACTGAAATCAACATTACAATACATTACCTAACCCGTTCTCACTTCTATTACTTCGTAACTCAAATACAAGACATTCTTAATTAGGTCATATTTAACTTTTTTTTATTCATCAAAGTTGCTTTTGAGGAAAATAAATAGATTTCCCATTTAATTTTCATCAAAATAGCGGGTACTTACCTAACCTTCTCCTTTTTATGAGGCAGCATTACATATTTGCTAACTTGGGGTGAGAATCTACATGGATCCAAATTACTATTTACCAAACGCCTTAAAATAATGAAATAGTTAGTTGCCATTCTACTTTTATGGAATTGTTCAAGTCACATTCTACAATCTGAAGGAATATTAAGGTTCCTTCATTTTACGGAGGAATTGTTTGAGTAAAGATCATCCAATTCAGTTTTGTAAAAAAAATTGAAGTGCCACTTGTATCATGAGTAGATTTGCCTCTTTTGATGAAATAAAGTCGTAATGTTATTGAAGAAATGAGTGATTCGTCTTGCAATGTTATCCATAACTATGCTGCAGAGTTAACAGGACCAGTGTTTCATTCTGAATCTTTGAAGTATGCCATTGAGGATAATAGTGTTCTATGTAAGTGAAATTTTATATTGTAACACTGTTATATATTAAATTGTATTGCATTCATATAAATGATATTTGTTTCAATTCCATAACGAATGTTTGAAGTACAAACTGAATAGTAAATGTTTCAGGAGGGCTTTTTTTCAGTTTGTATCTGAAAGTAACCACTATGCATGTGCTACACATCTTTAAATGCTACACATCTTTACAAAGATTGTAAGTAAATAGTTTATTTTGAACTGTATTGCTTTTTTCCTTTGTTTGGAAGTTCCCTACATTTTTTGTAGAAAGCCTAAGTTATTTACAGTAGACAACTATTAATAAATAGTCTTGAGTTTACTGTGGCCGGTCCGGTTCAACTCTTTTTCCAGAAACATGATTCAAACCATGAACTAATGTTTCAAGGTAGGGCCAAGACTATCTTGTGAAAAATTATTCCCACACCCTAAAATTTTTACCCTTCCATCTGTTTTCATCTTGGAAATGGTAAACCAGTACATAAAAATGAAGGTCAATATAACTTGGTTATCAATCTTACCCGCCCAATAGAGTGCCTTTTCCTTGATATAATTTAAATAAGAAGTAGTTGGTTTAGGCCGATTTCGAAACCTCCTCCCACCACTTTTAACCTTGAAACGACTTTGAATACGCCACACGCCGTCGCCAAGGTGACTTTGAGAAAGTGCTCAAATGAACTTGAACCATGTCACGTAATCATTTCGACGTGCGTGGCCGAGGTGGCTTCTAGACTTTTTGCTTCAACTTTGAAGCATTGTGATTTTGATTTGATTTTGTGGTTTTAACACAGACCGCTATGCCAAAGAGATTCGATCTTTCAAAGCACGAGGTTGAAAACCAGAGCCTAAACATAACACCAGGCTGCGCTGTTTCGACCCGTCATAGGTCTCATTAGTGGTGCTAGGCTGAATCCCAAATGCATTGCTGGACTCGGCTATCCTTAAAGGGCGGACCTATATAAAGGCCGATGACATATCCCTTACGAAGACGCCATATATGTGATCGACAGAGAAATCAATTCTCAAATATCAAATATATACGAGGCTGCTAATAGCAGTCTATTGAAAAAACTTTTCCCTCATCAAAATCAAAATAAATGAGGATGGCCGAGTCATCTGGTGATGCTAACTTGGAGTGAAACGCGCGTCGAGAGACAGCAATTTTTGTTTTAGTGAGGGAAAAATGTTTTCTATAGATTCACTTTTCGGCAGAGGTTCCAAATTCTACTTAACAAACACATATCAAATTCAAAGAGGACATTTACTTTTTCGAGCTATGATCAACATCACCGATGATTTAATGATTTCATTTTTGAGTTCAAAATATTTGATCATCAGTAAAAAAATATCGTACACATTCTATAGTATATGCAGACCTGTAAAAATCATCATCTTCTCCTCCCCATCCATAAAATCTATTGGACATGCCATTGACTTTCTGAAATTGTTCAGATGAAATTGCAACTGCTCCACCGAAGAGAGTCAAGTATGGAAGGTTATATCTGCAAAAAGGGTTGAAGAGATTCAGCGGTTAGGTTAGTAGGTAGGTTGAAAGTGAGTTGGTCTGTTTGATCCACAATTTCAACCCGCGAGGGTTTATTGTGGCTCACATTTTTTCAAATTTGACCAAATAAATCCAGCTTCTTAGGGAAGCCGATTACTTTATTTCGTATCTGTTGTTTCGGGTTAGTTGGCAAGAGTGAAAAACCTAATCAGGTCCAGTATGTGTTCTGCTACCAAGGCCTGAACTTTCTTTTAAAGAAAAATCTACTCTAAGGTTGATAAACTATGTTACATTTTTCTAGTGAGTACCTATGTGAGTATCTAGTGAGTACACTATGCGACTATCTTCATCAAGTAAGTAAGCAACACGATTGGGTAACTTGCGAATTGTCTTCTAGGACGCATTTCAGGGAAACCCTTACCTATGGTTGAAGGGCACTAACTGCACCCTCCTCTATGCCAACGATAATGGCATACTGAAGAGATTCGAGTTGGTTAGATAGATAGATAGATAGATAGATAGATAGATATCTTTATTTACTTTACAGAGTATTTGTAGTCCTACATGAACACAGTGGCAGAATACGTTGTCTGTAAAAGTACGTCAAAAAAATGCAAAAATCTTAAATCTACATACACTTCAGGAAATATGGACTGTCAAAAATCACACAAGGAGCTTAAAAAAATAAATATATAGTAGTAAATGCTGAAAATTAAGTCGAATAGGTTCCATGTAATTACGCTGTTAGTATTTACCCCTGTTAAAACCAGCCCCAGGGTCCCCTACCTGATTATGGTTGAAGGACACTAACTGCACCCTCCTCTTTGCCAACCATAATGGCATACTGAAGAGATTCGAGTTAGTTGATCATATTAGGGTTGTCGTATGTTCAAGGTGCAAGATTCCTACCTCAATCACCGCAGTTACACCTAATGATACGTTATATTCAGCCTTGCAGAGCCTTTTAGTCTCTGGTTTGGGTGAATCACCGTTTGATTGTAAACGTTTGCTGACCTGCTTGAAAGCAGTTTTTTTCTCTCTTCTGATGCAGACTCTGCTTCCATAGCAATTTAGAGCAAGATAGAGTCATAAGATATCCTGCTCTTTTTACCAGGATCAAGAGTTAGATAACTGAGAAACTCTTGGTCTTGATCCCATGTTATATAGAAGACAGTTGGGGTAGTTTAGTGGAAGTCTGTAGACCTAAGATCGGATTTTTGGATAATTCATGGTCCAGTAAAAATCTCACTAGAAGTGCTACGGAAGTCAGGAACATCATGGCACAGCCCTGCATTACTGTGACAAAGTTTTCTAAGAGGAGGGCGCCCAGTATCTCGAAGTTTACGTGATACTAAGTTAGCTAAGAGTCATACATTTGTTCAGCACGGATACACACACCTTAGAATGATGCATCATTCAAGATGACTCTCACCTCTACTGGTGGCATTCCACTCGGCAGGGTTGAATATATAATAATATAGCCTAAAATACACTTGGCTATGAATTTACAAAATTTAGAAATCACTTTTCTCATTGCTAAAATACTCAGAAACAACTCGAATAATTAACGTGGGTTATGTTTGTTGCTGTCAATCTGATTAACATAATATTGACTTTTCTTCACCTTTATAATATTTACGACAGCATTACGTTTATTTTTATGATTATGCCAATTAACATCATTAGCATTTTTTTAAATAACTTGTAAGCAAAATCTCTTTCTTTACTCAACCTTCTGATTTGACCATCATACCAAGGCGGATCTTTTTCATAGAAAGTAATTGTTTTCAAAGGTGCAATTTCATTTAAGATGTTTTCACAATTTTCTTTAATGTTATCATAAATCTGATATCCCATATATTACTAAGACAATCTACTGCATATATAGCTGATTCCCAGAAACTTTACTGAAGTATTGCAAATGAGTTTTTCACTATCAAGTGTTACGTGATGTGGCGTTTCTAAACTGTAGTTGGTTTTAAATATGAGGCAGTCAGTTTTTCCTTCATTTAGAATTCTTTGCATTGTTTGATTACGTCACATCCATTCTTGATTATATCTGGTAAAGTGGCACCAGTTAGCAGGAAATTGGTGTCATCAGCATAGTTGATAAGGTGAGCAGACTTTACATTTTTTGTAGCCTCGCTGATGTCATTGATAAAAATAATGAATAGTATTGGGCATTTTCTTGTTCTTCATATTATTTATTATTGAGAGCAACTCACATTCTGTTATAGGATTCAAGAAAAAGGTGTGACTGTGAAAATCTATTGCCTTTTAAAATCCACTTACCTTACCCATATTTCTCTGTCTTATTAAAGAGTTCCTGGGCCGCGTTTATAAAGTATTCATTAAAGCAATTTGCAGCCTCATGCAGATTATCGAGTTCAAACTGTTCATTTTGATTTGAACATGTCACTTCGTTGATAACCTGCCACATTGCTTTGGATTTATTGTCCGACCTAGCTATTTTGTTCTATGTATGAATTAATATTTTCTTCATTTATATCATCTCGAACTCGTGTTACGAATAACCATATTTTTTTGTGCTGATTATTCATCCCATACAAATTCTCATCTCCCGCTCCTATGCCGATTTTTTGTTGTTTACTTTTCCCTTCTTGCTACTTCCTTGAAACCTTCATTATTTTGGTATTCATTATTTGTATTGATGATGCTGTTCATGATCCTCCTCTGATTCTCTTCCAAAAGCGCTGTTTGATTTTCAGATTTTTCGTTATGTTTTGATTTGTTTTGATTGTTTGTGCTACCCTGTATGCTGTGAATTTCTGAATCACCCTAATGTTGTTCGGGATGTTGTTTAAATTTACTTTTTTCCGGAGGCACTTCTTTATTTATATTGTTTTTTGCTGGAGTTTTGGTATGTTTTTCAGTCTGCCTAATCTTATTAACATTCAACGTGAGTTTTTCTTCCAAACATGCTATTTTCTCATGCAACAATTCAATGACTTGCTCTTTTTCGGCGATTATGGTATCTTTGTCGACCAGTATTTGCCTTAGTTCGTGTTTGCATTCTGTTTGAGGCACTTTGGATGGAAGTGTTCACTACATTTCACACATTTTACCTTATTCACCACTTTTTTAGAGCAATGTTTACATATTACATTTTCATTTTCTTTAGGAGCAAGTGACAGTACCTCTGGTTTGGGTGAATCACCGTTTTATTGTAAACGTTTGCTGAACTGCTTGAAAACAGTTTTTTTTCTCTTCTGATGTAGACTCTGCTTCCATAGCTATTTAGTGCAAGATAGAGTCATAAGATATCCTGCTCTTGTTAACAGAATCAAGAGTTAAATAACTGAGATAAACTCTTGGTCTTGATCCGATGTTATATAGAAGACAGTTGGGGTAGTTTAGTGGAAGTCTGTAGACCCAGGGTTGGATTTTTGGATAATTCATGGTCCAGTAAAAATCTCACTAGAAGTGCCACCGAAGTCAGGCCCATCATGGCAGAGCCATGTATTACTGTGACAAAGTTTTCTACGAGGAGGGCGCCCAGTATCTCTAAGTTTACGTGACACTAAGTGAGCTTAGAGTCATACATTTGTTCAGCACGGATACACACACACCTTAGAATGATGCATCATTTAGGATGACTCTCACCTCTACTGGTGACATTCCACTCGGCAGGGTTGAATAGAGAATAATATAGGCTAAAATACACTTGGCTATGAATTGAGAAAATTTAGAAATCACTTTTCTCATTGCTAAAATACTCAGAAACAACTCGAATAATTTATCTTACGCCAACAGTTATTGTGTTGACACGAGATTAATTTTGGATCAGATGTTCTACTATAACCTCCAAAGATCCTGATAACGACTAGTGTGTTGATGATAGAAATAATCTAAATCTAGAAAGTTATATTATCTTTTATTGTGAAGACTATTATACTGAACTAATTTAGAGATTGGCAGTTACGTTACCTGAATGTATCCAAGCTACTTGACATATGCCTAGGCGATTTGGTGCATCCATATATATTTGCAGTATTCATTGGAATAAGATCTACATCATGGAGTATGAGGCAGTGATACTGGAATTTCATAGCTACCTTAGCTCCGTAATTAATCATTTTTGCTCTATTGAATGCCAGGGTGTCATTTTGTTCAACAATGAAAATTCGGTAATGTATACTTTGATTTTGTAAAAATGAGTGCATGTACTTCAAAAAAAATTCCAGCTGTTTTTGCCGTTGTCTGTAAGGAATAATAAGTGCTGATTTGACAAGTGGTGCACAATCGATTGGTTTATATTCACCACCTAAAATTTTTTTTTTCCATTAACAATGTACAACGTAAAATATAGACGAATTTTCAAAATCACTAAAAACAAAACACAAAAATAAAAAGTTTTTCAATACGTTGTTCACCTGGTAGAGGTTTTCGAAATCGAATTTGTTCTGGCAGTGCGATTACATCTTCATTTTTCATTATCATATCTCTGTAGGAGCAGTTTTGAAGTTTGAAATCTACGTTTTCAGCTTTTCGAAAATCCAGTTCGTTCAAAATGTTTTTTAGGACAATATAGTCATAACGCCTAGCATGTCTAGATGGAAAATACACAGCAATGAATAAAATAATAATAGTGATTACTCCTATGCAATTTTTTAACATTATTTGTTTTCTCTCATATTTTGCCATTTCCTCCCTTTAGACACATTTGAATAACTCATTTTTGGAGATTAGCGCCTAATCTGCTCAATAATCTTACTACAATTCATATTATTCAGCCTGAACTTGTGTTATTTCTTCTCTCTGCCTTTCTGTCTCTTCTCGTTTCTCTGAATTTTGTTAGTATTAAAAGATTGTTAGTTCCAGAACAATACAGCACAAGTCATAGATGAGGATGGAACATGAATAACTGAAAAAACATAATTTATATAAAGGTTTTCATGTGGTAAAGATGCATGTTGGTTGATAGTTTGCTTTTCATTTTATTTCAACACTTCATTTCACTAGTGCCTCCAATATGAATTGAATAATGGATATCACCTGGTCTAAAATAAATAATAATAATAATCTGACCATCTGGCAAATTAACACCATCGTGTACACAGCCATTCAATTTTCCTAATCGGGTGGACGGAATCCCGGTCTAGTGGTTCGACAGATTAAACGGAGGGTATACAAGATTACCAAGATCAAGCTGGCGAGACAACACGCATCTCGTATCAAATTAATGTTGTTTCACTAAAGCACACTGTATAGTATAACTAGCAAGTCATTAGAATCTGTGTTTATCCAGTGTTGTGGAAGAAATAAAAAAAAAAAATGGATACCTTACCTTACCTCTCTGCATTACCTTACCTTACCTTGCATTATTATAAACTAGGGGTGACACTTGCCCAACAAGAAGTGTTGGGTAAGTTGGCTTTTAATAATAGTCATTAAAATTCTTTCTCAATGTCATTTATGAATATAAGCATTGTTGCGTGATAGTTTTCCAGAAATTCATTTTCTAGGAGTTTCAAAGTTTTTACAAGTATTTTTCTGATAGAGCAGTATATTTTCATTCATATATGTTTGTGAATTATTTTCAAGAACTGCCTTTTCATGTATTCTTTTGTTTTCGGTGTAAATGAATTTACAATATTTATTGGATTATAATAACGAAAGAAGTCACACAGTCATCAATCCAGCTCAACGACAAGAATTCACCCTTTTTTTATGCTTCTGCCAAGAATACACAGAGTAACTCATTGAATGACTGTATACAAAAAGATCCTAATTTTTTAGAAATAATTCCTTCACTTTTACTCAAATTCCGTATCAGATTACTTGGGGTTATTTTCGATATTGAAATGGTTTTTCTCCAGATAAGATGAAAGAAAAAGATTTTTTAAGATTCTTCTGGTGGGCAGATTATTCTCAAAAGAAAATTAAAAACTTGTAGAGTCGTGTTTGGAGTGAAAACTAGTCATTTTCTATTATCTGCAACAATTGCCTATCACTTGTATAGAGCTGCATTACAATCAAAAAGTTCTGCAGAAAAACTCAAAGTCCTGGAAATTACATATCAAGTGTTAAAAACGAAAAAAAATCGCATAAGTTTACTACAGATTCCATATCACAAATCTCTTCTGCAAATTTCAATATTAGATGATGGGGACATAATTCTTTGCAGTCAAAAATACAATACACTTCAGTTAAATTTAAAGTAAATATAGTTGGAGTATTAGGCTTACTTTGGGACACTGTTCTTCTTGTGAAGTTTAGTTATGAGGTAATAGAACAAAATTTTAAATCTTTTGGATTGCACACTTGTTATCGCCTTATCTTATCACAAACTACCTAGAGCCTAGAGTAAGTGGTTTGTGTATGCAACTTCTATCATGAATCATAAATTATTGTATTTCTTCTGTAGTCCCATACACATGATAAATTGATTGGCCTGACCATTAGAAGGAGACCACAGACTAAAAAGAGGTAGGTGCCGTGTGTGAAAAATATGGCTAATATGTCGGCAACGTTTCATTTCTAATTTCTGATAGAAAATATAAATGTATAATCAAACATTAAACAAGTTGTAGGTTTTCAATGAATAATGAAGTACATGTATCTTTTTGTTTCATTCGGTGTTGAATTTGCGTGACTCTTGATTTTTTATTTAAAATTGCTTTTGATTAATGAGTTTATTTGATCAACTATCGAAATACGTAAGTTACACACACTTTCTTTTCAAAATAGGCTAGTGCAGTCTATTCGAAATCAAACAGAGTTATTTGTTTTCTAAGTTTGATTTATTTTTATTTGCTATTCTAACAATATGGTTCAATCCTGTGCAGTTCATTTTATACAGTCAGGTACAAGAAAATAGATAACACATTGAAACTTCTAAGGTGAGTTTTTTTAAGAACAAAACACAAGCACTATAGGAAAATCCTTGAGGCACTCTAAGAGCGGTGCCTGTGCTAAAATAGCAATTCACGTTGGATTTCAATCGCTGGAGATTAAATCCATTTGATAAAACGTTCTCAGGAAGTTTATCCACGTAAACGCAGTTCCCCGAATGGAACAGTTCTTGAAGAGGGAAGTTTGAGGTGCACTGAGTTAAACCTGAAAACGGTGAGCAGCCACAGTCCGTCGCGTATTTCTGATATGTACCGCTCTTGGTGGAATAATTTTATGTTCATTTACATATTTCTGAATTTCATACCACGAGTTCACGTTTCTGAAAGATCATTAGATAGATTTTCTATTTTTCCATGAAGGCACTATTATGTCGTCATTATGGTCAGAATGATTTGTTACACTGGTATGTACCGGTGTTAGTTCAGTGGATGTTTCTCTTGGGTACACTGCTACAATAAGAAAACGTAAAAGAAAATTATTTGTAGCAGATTGCAAATTCTACCATCCGTGAAAAACCACACACTGATACAATTGTAGGTGCACTGAATTTCATGTTTAGGTATTTAATTACGTGTTAGTTTTATATACAAATAAGACTATGCATGATGATAATCCAACAATATTCTCACTATAAATATAATTTGGATAGGTCCAATACTGAACGAGGTTATTACAACTCTGTCAATGCCTATGCATTGCCCTATGCTCCGAGAGATATTGCATCAATTGTGGGGAATGGGAAATGTAGATTTTTTGGGAACTATTCGTTCCGTATCCTCAGGCTCATACAAGCTTATGAGCCCGATGTAATTCTTCGCGACCATCAGAGCAACACGATATTTGTCGGGAAGTTTTCAGCTCCTTGACGGGATGAAATTTGTCCGAAATGGGAAGGAAAACGGATGAAATTTCGAAATGTTCTCTTCGAACTCCACAGACTCTACCCAGACCACTCTGTTAAGATGGTCGTTTTGATTATTGAAGTCCTTGGTGGAATGATGCCCTCTCTACTCTCGAATCTCAAGATAATGCCGCAACAAGTCAGAAATCTTAGCCGGACAAATACCGAGGGCTGTTATTCTTGGATCACTGCGCTTGTTTAGTGCTCACATTTGTAAACAACAAAACACGGCGGTTTACGATGACAACAGACCATCCCCACCAGGAGGTGTTCGGGTGATGTGTTTAGTTAGGTACTGCCCAAATACATTTTCCGCGTAGATATAGGACCTCAGGTAATGTAGACTTCACCATATTTCGCGTAGAATTAAACTCCACTGATTCCGCACACCAAAATACATGGTTCGTGAATTTTACTGAGATGTAGCGGACAACTCAACTAAAGGTCCTAAATGATATCGAAGGGGTGGTTGAATATTATTGGAGTTTAATCCAAACACCAAACCGTTATTTTTAACATAGAGGTGTTAAAAATAACGGTGTTGGGATTAAACTCCAGTAATATTCATTACTACACCAAAGGTTCCAAATAGTGCATCACGGGTGGTTGAAGTTCATCTTTAATTAATACCAATTTTCCCATATCTTAATCTAATCAATCTCTTGTCCACTTTTGTCTCTGTTGAAGTGTGTGAATTACAAAAGCAGCGGAGCAGCCATCTCGTCAAATGATTATTTTTGTGTTCGAAAAATCTGGACCCGGTGAACAGGATATAGCGGCGGTCGTACCGATCAAATGATTTTAATTTTCGCTTTTCATAGTGGGAAGTAACTTGCAACGAATCTTCCGAATGGAAGACACGTACCTACAAAGTCGTAGGACTACATGAGAGGCAATGGGTAAGGAGTTTCTCACCTGAACCTGGAGCATGTCTATGCTCCATATATGTCATATATATAGTGTCACACATAAAGTCCGCATCAAATGGTATTTTTTTTTTCATCTCTTCAAGCAACTTTTTATATCTCCATTAGGTTGTGCTTTAAAAATGATGCCAAATGACATGCATATGACCGATCAAGTGATTTTTCTTCCCTGTCAAATTTGACATTTTTTATACTTGGTTGCAGAAACAACACAAATGCACGGAGTCATCAACAGAAGACAGTCGCACTTACCTTAACCTTTCTGTGTCTCCATTCCGATTGTGTACTATTCTGTGCCCAATGGCACAGCTGTCAGTTTCTGTTGTAGTTTTGACATGGGGGAAATAATTTAACAGTTTTCTGGTGAACTTAACGTGGAAGTAACTAGGACATGCGTACTTTGGACTTACGTGGCAGACGTAAAAGTGTATTTGTGGGATGTTCTTTATTTACAGATTTTTATAGAATTTCACCGTTAAAATAACGCAAGTGAGTATTCTCGAATGATATTTATTTTTATTATGAAAATAAAGCACATAATTTGCATATGTGGTGTCGAACCAATTGCTAGTTTCTTATCATGAAACTTCCAAATCATTATATTTTCAAAATTTTGCCCCAGTTTCCAAAAAAAATAATACTGTGGTTTGACAACTTTCATATTAGAATATTTCAATTATCTTCAGAATGAACAAAAAAATAGTCATTATTGAGGTTGAATTATTTCAACAGAATTATGTATAACAAAAAAACAAAACAAAACTTTTATGAATTATTTCATTTACAGTATCATTTTGATATGGAACCACAATATATGCCTCCACAACAGTTTGGAGGCCCACAACAAGGATTTCCTCCCAACCTATCTTCACAAGGATTAGGACAACAGCAACCCTTTCAAACTGTTCCCCTGGAATCACCAAGACCTGGGCAACTACCTCCTCAGGGAGGGATTCCTTCTAATAAGTGCACACTTCCTTCAGGAGTTCCAGTATCTGGATCATCTCCGAGTTATCTAACATCGCCAGGTCAGCTACCACCATCAAGTCAGTTACCACCTACAAATCAACTACCACCCTCCACTAGAGGTCAAATTCCACCCAGTCAATTACCCCCTTCTATTGGTCAAAACACTCAGAGTATGAATTCACAACATCCAAGTGCATTCAGTCCTCCACTATCAAAAAATGAAGTTCAACCTGGAAATGTTCAAAATGGTCCCCAACAGTTTCAAAACGGACAAATGCCAGGTAAAAAATTGATTCTGTTATTTTTATATGATAACCAATACTGAAAATTCAGTCAGTTATCATTCTTACCTATAACAAACCAAAACAAAAATGTCTTTCAAATAATGACACGATAATGTATCTGCAGTACTCCGTGGTATGAATGATTGGTAATAATTATTCTTTCAAGGTTAACAGGCTAATTCAATACACAATTTATAAAATCTCAATACAGTACTGAGTACAAGTTATACTGTCAAAATTTCAAATACCCAACACATTCCATCAAGAGATTCAGTAATGTATGGCAGTCATCTTGTGATAGTTCAAATGGCATAATTGAAGAATTGATTATTTTTGATTTGATTTGATGATCTCAACGTTCGAGAATAATATGAATTTATATGAGCATAAAAAATTATGACACCATACTTTTGCTTTTCCAATATTATCGAAATATCAGTGCTATGTTGTTTAACTTTTTGAAAAGATGCACTATGCAATCCATTCAGGTACCTGATATCAAGGGGTTGAAAAAAACTGAAATTATTCCGTTTTATCTAAAATTATTGGTGGTGAATTCTGTGAATGGGATAGTACCTCATTTGCTTTTGAAACATAATTTTGTAATGGAAAAGAACTCTGATGGTAACTTTTCATATAGCTTGTAAGTCCTCAGATCTGAGTTGGTAGGGGGAAGTTAGTTAAAATAATCAATTTTTACAATAAGAAGAAACCTCAATGATACATTCCATATACTTTGTAAGGCCTTTGGCGGGGTTGGTGGGGCATAATTACTCTAAATAATCAATGTACTCTTTTCTATGAAATATGATAACATTCTAATGTTAATATGTTCTTCACAAAAGGGAACCTCAATGATAGTCTGAGTCTAAGTAGTGCATTCAGTTCCTTAGTAGCTCGGTGTGATGGAAAGGGATGAGATTTGGTCTGCTGAACCAGACACCTTTGTGAAGAATCGCGATGAAACACTTCCCTTAGTTTGTAAGGCCTAAGGAGGGATTTGGTAAGGGATGGCTATTTCATATAATTGAATAATTCATTTCATTGAAATAACATAAAATTCTAATTCTTTAACAGACTTCCACAGCAAAACGAACCCTCATATTTCATCCTATGATAAAAGCACTTTAAATTACATATCAATATTTATTATGAAAAGATGTGCTACTACATAAATTTAGTTTTCTACTACTTGGGAGTCATCCCACTTGTCCAATTCTCCCAAGTCTCAGGAAAATACTGCAGCTTCATGATAAACTATTGGATGAATAGCTATTGTGTTCTTTATTGAGATACATCAACAGATTTTTTAATTGCACCCCTCACCAATCTCCACCTGAGGCCTTATGAGGAATGTTTCATCAGGGTTCTTTCTTGCTATGAAAACATATATTAAAAAGAGAATGGGATGCTATTCAACTGAAACGAATTCTTTGATTATTTAAAGTGACTACTCGTCACCAACCCTTACCCAAGGCCTTACAAATAATATGTTGTTTCATCAAGGCTCTTTTTTGTGATGAAACATGAATCAAAATAAGAATGCTGTATTATTTCATTGAAATCCATTATTCTGTTAGCTAGAGTAACTTTCTCCAACAATCACCTTCTGAGTGAGGCCTGACAATCTATGGATAAGATGTCATCATGGTTTTTTGTGGTAAAACATAATATATCAAAATTGGAATGCCGTACTATTTCATTGAAACAAGTTTTACAATTATTTAGAGAAACAACCCCCCACCTGATGCTTTAAAAACTATATGGAATAACTACCATTAGGGTTTTTTGTTGTGGTAGAAACATAAAATAAAATTAGAATACAGTACTATTTCAGAAACTAGTAAATCAATTATATAGAATAACTACCCTCATCAGCTCCTACCGGAGGCCTTACAAACAATTTGGAATGTATCATCTGGGTTCTTTTTTTGCGATGAAAACATATACAAAAATAAGATTGCAGTACCATTTTACTGAAAAGAGTTTGTCTCTTGTTTAAAGTAACTTCCTGAAACAGCCCCTTCCTAGGGCCTCTCAAACAATGGGAAATGTGTTATCATGGTTCTTTGTTGCAGTTAGAACATATATGAAAATAATAATGCAGTACTATTTCATTGAAACTAGTTATTTAATTATTTAGAGTAACTACTCCTCACTATAACCACCCAAGGCCCTTTAAACTATATGGAACATATCATCAGGGTTATTTGTTATGGCAAAACATTATTAAAATTAGATTGTGTTTCTATTTCATTCAAACAAGTAAATCAATTTAATATTTAGTTTAAGTTTCACAAACTATATGGAATGTATCTATCATCAGAGTTTTCTGCCGTAAAGACATTAAAATACGAATGTGCTACTATGTCATTGAAATGAGTTGTTCAATTATTAAGAGTAATTTCCTTTCCTCTCACCTCCTCTTGGAGCTCAAAAAACTATGAGGAACATATCATCAGGGTTCTTTTTCATTACAAAAATAAGTTTCAAAAGCAGAAAGCAGCGCTATTGCATATAGAGAATTAACCACCAATTCTTTTCTATAAAAGGGTTAATTTCAGTTTCATTTTCAATCATGTGATATCAAGTTCTGGATTGTGCAGTTTCAGCTTTTCATGGAGTTGAAAAACATAGCATTGATATACATAACTTTACTTTCGTATCTTACTGATTAGTTCTAGACAGTGTAGGTGATGGTTGAAAATTTTGAATGATGTCCTGAAGTATCACAAAAGGGAACCTCAATGATAGTCTGAGTAGTGCATTCAGTTCCTTAGTAGCTCGGTATGACGGAAAGGGATGAGATTTGGTCTGCTGAACCAGACACCTTTGTGAAGAATCGTCATGAAACACTTCCCATAGTTTGTAAGGCCTAAGAAGGGATTTGGTAAGGAATGGCTATTTTATATAATTGAATAATTCGTTTCATTGAACAGACTTTTACAGCAAAACGAACCCTCATATTTCATCCTATGATAAAAGCACTTTAAATTACATATCAATATTTATTATGAAAAGATGTGCTACTACATAAATTCAGTTTTCTACTACTTGGGAGTCATCTCACTTGTCCAATTCTCCCAAGTCTCAGGAAAATACTGCAGCTTCATGATAAACTATTGGATGAATAGCTATTGTGTTCTTTATTGAGATACATCAACAGATTTTTCAATNCTTTAAATTATTTGATTTGCACAAAAACTATATAGTTTTTTTTTTAGTATAATATTGTAAAATGAGCTATGAAATTTCAAAGCAATTTTCTTATACTTGCAGAAGGATTTCGGTCGATAGCCAGTTGAGCAAAATTGTAATTTTGTTCAATAAACTACAATTATTATTATTATTATTTATATCAGAAATAGTTTGAAATTGACCCCGGAACAACACTGCGTATGTCTGCATTCTAAATTCTTCATTAAGGTTGTTTGAATCAGTTATTATCTCATTAAGCACGAGGTCTGTTATACGTTGCATGTTCCAATTTCAGTTTCCTTTAAATGTACATATATTCATTTGAATTAATTGATAATTGCACTTACAGACCAATTTCCAATGAATCAGGACAAAAGATCTCCTTCAGGGATGACTGTTCCACCAAACGTTCCATCAAATACTCAGAATCAGAATCAGTTTGGTCCCATTCCAACATCAAATCAAAACTTTCCACCTAAACCATTGTCAAACCAGCTTGGTCAGACCCCATTGTCAGGAGTTCCAACATTCCAATCGGCTGGAGCACCGGGTTTGCCATCATCTACCCAGAATCAGTTTGGACAACCTCCTGCTCAATTACAAAGTCAACACAATCAACTACCAACAGCTCAGGGAATGAGTGCTGGTCCTCCAAAACAAACCCAACCCATACAGCAATCTCTGCCAAGTCAAAATATTCCTACTCAACTACAAAGACCTGGACAGCCGCTCTTGCCTGGACAAGGGACATATCCTAACCAAGGTCCCCCCATGGGCCAAGGATCTTTTCCTGCACAGGGACCCCAGCTAGATCTGGGATCTTCTGGTCAAGGTTTTCCACAAAATCAAAGACCTCCAGTTGGTTTTACTCAAGGTCCACCACTTGGTCATGCCTCTCCTCATCTTAGTCAAGGACCTCCTCTGTCTGGTCAAATGTCATCTTTGTCTGGACAAAGACCTCCTTTACCTGGACAAAGGCCCATGGATAATGCTAATCCAGCACTAGGTATGTAAAATAATACCAAATAGTAATTAATTGTACTGACTGGTGACATTTACATTAAGGACAAAATAAGTTTTTGTAGAGAAAGGAAACTGAAGGTGAAAGTAACTAGATATGGTAAAAAATAATTTTGACCAAATAGTAGTATATTATTCAATGAGAAATGTGGCTATTACTTGCTTAGGAGCTCTCGTTATAAATAATTCGAGCGAGTAATGACCATTTCTCACTAGTAGAATACTATATTTTTTCTATAAGTTACATAAGGTTATATTTCAAGATTCATTTGTAAAGGATATTATACCCCTCTGCGTTCCATCGCCGCATCACCGTCTAGCAGTCTAACTTCAAAACTTATTCACGTGCATACGTATTCACCTAATGTTTTGAAGTCAGAATAGTGTGTAGTTAAAAATGTCGAGTAAAAGGAAACACAAGACACCATTTTATTTGGGAAAGAAAGTTTTTGGCTTTCTACTACTCCATCTTGATACAAAAAAAAGGATGAGGGAATTTTCCAAAGAAAGGAAGGAAGTAATCAATTTGAAACTCTATACATGAATGTGTAGATCATGCAAAGAAGTAACTTTCAGACACACACTGAAAGTTACTTCTTTGCAAGATCATACCTCAAAATTATACATTTTCATTTATTATTTCAGTAGGACAAAATCCTTATCAATTTGCATCAGGACCCTATCCACCAGGGGTGGCGTATCCGCCACAAGGTCCCCAAATGCCTGCACAAAGCAGTCAATCACAGTTGGTTTCCAATCAGATAACAAACCAAATGCATGGGATGAGTTTAACAGGACCTAGGCAATATCCTGGAGCACCAGTGAAAAGCACCATCAATGGAGATAGCGGTCCCCACATGCCACCACCACTCGGTCAGTCTGGTTTCATGAATGGTCAGCAAACGAGAGGTCCCCAACAATTAGCAAGATATCCACCAATGCCTGGTCAAGGGTCCATGCCTGGACAAGGATCTATTCCTGGGCAAGGATCTATGCCTGGAACAGGACCTATGCCTGGTTCAGGGCCTATGCCTGGACCTCTATCCGGAATAGGTTCTATGCCTGGACAAGGCCCTATGCCGGGACAAGGACTAGTAGGATCTGGTTATCCTCAACAAAACTACCAACAACCGCAACAGAATCGAAAATTAGATCCAGATCAAATGCCTAGTCCTGTAAGTTTTTTTTATATCTCTGACATTCTTGAGGAAATATTTGTTCATCATTGCTGAATCGAAAGTGGTCAAATCACTAATCATTATTTATTTATAGATTCAAGTAACACAGGATGATCAGCAAAACAGATCTGGTGTATTCGTCACCAATCAAAAAGGACTCGTTCCTCCACTAGTTACCACCAGTTTTGTTGTTCAAGATCAAGGAAATGCTAGTCCAAGGTTCATTAGATCTACAATGTATAATGTACCAATTTCACAGGTAAACATTACTTTTTTAATATGAACTAAACAGTTTGAAAACATTCGTAGCCATTTGATTGCTTATTGTTGATAGTGTTGACAATTTGGAAAAACTTTAAAACCAGAAATGAATCTGATAACTTTCTCAGATAGCTAAAGCTGTCTCTTGGTGATTTCAGTGAAATCTCTAACCCGAGATGACCTGACCGAGACCACAAAGTGCGGCTGGTTTCTTTTGAAGAAATCGTGCCTTTGTGTTAATTCTGCAAGAGAGAAGAGAACTTTATTTATTTAGTAGGACATATCCTAATATAAAATAGGGATACAAACATGTTTCTAGACTAATAGTAATATGAAAAAAAGAAACAAAAGAATACTAAAAATAAAATAATGTAAAGTATATAAATTCGTGTGAATGGGATTGAGTATGTTGAAATACATTCTGGAGATTTATAGTGACTGGATATGACAGTACCATGCTGATCATTGCCTGAAATTAACAGTAACGTGTCATATAGATTGAGAAAATCACAGTCATGATAGTACTGTATATCATTGATATAGTATAGGGATAATGAAGAACCCAAGACACTTCCCTGTGGTACACCGAAGTTATTGGTGATGGAGCCCTAGAATACATTTTCCACTTTGGTGATCTGTTTGCGATCTGTTTGGTAGTTCCTGATCCATTTCAATACAGTACCTTGTATACCAATTGCTTTTAACTTATCAATCATTTTTTGACTATCAATAGTTTCAAAAGCTCTCAAGTCCAAGAAAACTGCAACTACATGATCACCATCATCAATTGATTTTTTCCATTTTTTTATGGGTAACTGCAGTGATGCTTCGCATGAATGATTCTGTCTAAAGCCTGATTCTTCGCATGAATAATTCTGTCTGAAGCCTGATTGACAAGTCATTAACAAATTATTTTGTTCAGATAATCAAGTAATTGTTGGTAAACAGCTATCTCCAGCACTTTTTCAATACCAGGTAATTTATTGATTGATCTGAACTCCCATGCTTTGCTAGTGTTTGCCACCTTCTGAATAGAAGGTTAAAATACTTGTTTTCAGCTGATTTGGAAATGTGCCATAAAATAGTGAGATATTGATAAAGTGTAATAATATATTATCAATAACCTCAAAAGTCTGTTTTATGCATTCAATGTCATTGATTTCACTAGCAATGTTGTAGTAGTTCATGTTTAATTGTAGAAAGCTCGGATAATTTAATTTGTTTGACTGTTAACAGTAGTGAGGCTATTTCATCTTGGGGAATTTTCAATTGATTTCAATATTTTTTCAATACTTTCAACGAAATACGTATTGAATAACTCAGCAAGGAACGGAGGAACTTTCAAAACTGTTTCAACACTGAAAGTTTTCTTGTCTTTTTTTATATCATTTGAAATGGGGGCAGTAGAGCCAAAAAACGAAATCGACTATTCTAGTTTTTGACAAATATTTCAAAAACAATTACTGATATTCTCGATCTGAAATGAAATTATTCTGTCTGTCTGTTTCTGTTTGAAATCTGTTTTTCCGTTAACCAGCTGCCGCCCCCATACGAACGACAACTCTCAGAAGTTGAGAAACTTGTGCGAGCTAAGGACTAACGAGGTCTTACCTTTCAACGTGTGATTCCTAACACTGTTGCAGAATCATTCCAGCTTTAACCAGATAAATTCTCTCGAGAAAAATATCTGGTCGAGGCGGGATTCGAACACACGACCTTCCGATCGTGAGTCGGACGCACTATCACCGCGGCCAATTCCACAACTAATTCCCCAAAATAGTAAACATTTGACTCATTTAACTGACCTTGTAGGTCTTACTATTTCTGAGATAGCAATAGTGGGGTCAGCTAAAAAAATGGCCTGTATATTATAAATGAAAACTGTCTCAATTCAGGAAATCAACAGGAAAAATGTAACAATGTGATTGAATATTTTTGAATATTTTCAAATTGGCAACATAAGAATATAACAATTATGTATTGTTTTATTATTGACCTACTAATTTAGAATTGATTTTAGGATATTCTCAAACAAACATCAGTTCCCTTTAGCGTAGTGTTGAGTCCTATGGCTAGGCACATGGATCAGGAGTATTTCCCACCAATAGTGAATTTTGGTGAATTAGGGCCTGTTAGGTGTATACGGTGCAAAGCCTACATGTGTCCATTTATGCAATTCATTGATTCAGGAAGAAGATTTCAGTGTCTTTTCTGTATGGCTACAACTGATGGTGAGTTTGACAAATCAAGATTAGTTCATGTCTTGTTTTTTTTTTGAAAAATGTTTCAAATTGTATCATAGTTTACAGGTTTAACTCAGTACACCTCGAACTTCACTGTTTAAGAACTCTTTCATTTGGAGAACTGCATTTATGTGGAGTAAACTTTCTCAAAACGTTTTTCAAAATGAATTTAAATTCCAGCAATTCGCTACTTTCGCACAGGCACCACTGTTAGAGCGCCTTAATGATTTTCCTGTAGTGCTTGTGTTCTGTCATACTAGCACAATTTTTAATATTGAAACCAACAACTAATAACTTTTTCATTCTTCTCATAGTATGTTTTATTGATGTCAAGAATAAATTTGTCAATTATGACGAATCTTTTAGGTTTCCTTTGACGGTAAATTGAGTTATTTGAATTTGAATTTTTGAAAGATATGGTGCAAATCGTTAATACTTTGATGCTTATGCGGAAGCAGTAAGAAGACTGCTTCCGTCTCCTTAATTCTGGAATGTAAAAACTATGATTAAAAAAATGTCAATCACTAGAAGTTCAAATGAAAAGATTGTATTAGATATTGCTTTTCACGAGATGAAACGAATTTACACACCTATATTTTACTTTGAACATCACAACGGAAAAATATATCTAAAAACAATGTTCTGTATGCATCGAGAATAAAAAATATGCCATGTCATATTTTAAGATTGAGTGAAAAATTTAGTGGGGCAGTTCCATAACCACCCAGATCACCTGATCTGACTAAAATCGATGTTTCCTATACATATAGGTTAAATGATTATTATATATATTATATATAAAAATCTACATAATACAATAACTACAATAACTGAAAGAGTATCAGAAACCTTTTGGAACTAAAACAGGATATTGGGCTTAGGTGAAAACACCTGCTTTAGTGTCCGACCGAAACTGGTTTTTACGACCGAAACCGAAAACGAATTTCGGCGACGGTCTCAGTTTCGGCCGAAACCGAAACTTCCTTACAAGGATTATGTTTTGAGAGAAAAATAAAGAAAACGTTATAACAATCAGTCAGTCTTTATTTTTTTATCTTTAAATCAGAACGTTATGCAGTCTTCGACATTTTTACTTATTGATAATCAACATAACAAACCCTTATTTAAAAAAAAAACATTATTTGCACCTTGAAAATACTTGAAATAGATGAGGGGTTTATTTGAGTAGGTGAAGATCCTTCTTTTGAATATTGACGGTTTTTCAAAAATATTAAACATAAAATTACTTATTTAAGTTGTTACCTAATATCACAATAGGTACTTAATATTTATGTAACAAACAAAGTAAGTCACAAGTCATGACATTATTAGACATGTGGACTCGGCAAAATGTCTTTGTCTCTTGTATGAAATTCAACGCGCCGAACATGACCGATCACAGCGCGGGAACTCCTGAATGCAGTTTCGATTTCTGTCGTAGTTTCGGCAGGTTTGCCGCCGAAACCGAAACCCGTTTTTTTGCCGAAACTCAACCGAAACCAAACTTTTGGTCGGACACTAATCTGCTTCACTGAAATTTTTCAGTTAACTTCTGCAGGTGATCTTTACTGTATGATTCCACTTCCGAAATATTTTCAGAACATAACATTAACTTCATAAACAGATACAATTTACTGATTCAACAATGAAATCACTCTTGAACAATAGTTCTTTGGAGCTCTCTGAATTGTTTCACTTGAAATCAGTGTGGAAACACTTGTGTGAGTGTACCTGGAAAGTACACTCACACACATCAATAGATTTGCTGATTCAGCTGCAGAGATACATGGAAAACCTACAACAAAGGCTTGATAGATTCTGCTGTTCATTTGAAAAAATGTAGTATGTTTCTAAGTTTGTTTTCTATCCAAGCATATTTCTTCACTTTTCATAAAACATAAAACATTCAGAATTTTATTCAACTTGCGGAAAGTATACTTTGTGAAATATCCTGTTATTAGTTCTCAATTTGTTTAGGTTTTCATTATTTTCCCTCACGATCTTGAATAATTTTTCAGAAAAATATTTGCAAGTAATGTCAAAAAATCATCTATGTTCCATGGCAAATACTCAATTTAGAACTTTAAAACTATTTTCAGTTCCAACGGAGTACTTTCAACATCTGGACCATACTGGTCAACGAATGGATCGCTATGAAAGACCCGAATTGGTCCTCGGTACCTACGAATTCGTTGCAACAGCAGATTATTGTAGGAATAATACTTTGCCAAATCCGCCAGCCATTATTTTTCTTATAGATGTTTCTTACAACAATATCAAATCTGGCATGGTGAACCTTTTATGTTCCCAGATGAAAAACATCATTCAGAATCTACCTGTGGATCAAGGACAAGAAAAAAGCAATATGAAAGTTGGATTCATTACTTACAATAGTTCGGTTCATTTCTATAATATAAAGGTGAGTGACATAATTTTAAGTACAAATTTAAAAGAAAAGACATACAGCTACTTATATATCAAATTTTAACCACAGGATAGGGGCATATAAATTGAAAAATTTCTGCTCCGATCTGTTATATTTGACAAATCATGATGAATTTATATTCCAATGTATACAATTTCTGAAACATTGTGAACCATTGTGAATTACACAATAAAAAAGAAAATAAACAAGCAGAGTATACAAATAATTCATTCTGTTAGAAAAAATCACAAACATTCAAATTTGAATTTCAATTACATAAATACCATCCATGAGTCAAGTAAAAAAACTACTAGTTAAATCAATAATATATGGAAGCTGAAGAGTTTTTTGTTCGTTTATTCGAACACACTAATCTCTGGATTTATCATTCTGATTTTAAAAATTCCTTTCATGTATGATACTCACATGCACCGGAAAGGTAATAGGCTAAAGTAACTAAAATATTATTTAATGTAAGCTCAAGCTACATATCTGACCAGGATGCAATATATTGCACTTTGATACTGAAAAAAAAATCAACAAAAAATTTGTTTAATATGTAGCACACACGCACACCTGAATATGCATTCACCTAACAAGAAGAATTCATTAAGGCTTTTGCGGCCAAGATTTTCAGTATTACGATCTTCATTGTTAAAACATCAACCAACCCTTCTATATTAATTTAAAGGTTATAGTACTCCAAGGGTTGATTTGGTGAGATGACAGTTTTTTTGGTCTTCAATACCAAAAAAACCAAAGTACTCACTTTCAAATGTACCTACTGTATCAAAGGTGTTTTTCGGGGAGGCTACTATTGAATATACATAGCTCTTTCACAAAATTCTCAGTGATAAAGGTAGGTGGGATGCTAAAATTTGAGAAAAACGTAACAACTATCTGAAATGTGTTATCACCACCATCTGTTGCATTTACTATAACTTGTGTGAATAGCTGTGGTACCTCAAAAGACCAGGATTATACACATGCTACCAGTATGGCCCTCTGATTAGAGAAATTTTGCAATTTGCAAGTTTTTTGGCAAGATATTGGATATTATTTACAGAATATTTTACTAAAAACACATTTTTTATATATTTTAACAGCTTGCTACTATTACTACTATTGCTACTATTTTCTCTCAACAACATTTTTTTACAATAAAGTAATCCGTGCCAGTAATCTATGCCTCTTGAGTTGTTGCTTGCATATAACAATTTACATTGTATATTGTTTATTATATTGTACAATTATCAGTAAACTGAAGTTTCTCCTATTTCATTAGATTTTTAAAATAATTTTGTTTTGAAGTTTTTTTTTTACTTTTCCTATGTAGCCAGATTCTTACAGAAAAATTCATTTCATTTCAGGGTACATTGGCAGCTCCTCAAATGTTAGTAGTGGGAGACGTACAAGAGATGTTCATGCCCCTTTTAGACGGATTCTTGTCTACTCCAGAAGAATCTGGTCCAGTAATTGATGCTCTTATGGAACAGATTCCATCCATGTTTGCCGATTCTAGAGAAACAGAAACCGTATTGTATCCAGCAATTCAAGCAGGATTGGAAGCACTTAAGGTAAATTTATTAATCACTCTTGTCAAACAAGCTAAGTAGAGAATAGAATAGAACATTTTTTATCATAATTGTCCAATAGAATTTCAAATGAAATTTGTATTCTCATAGTTTCGAAAAAAAAATTGAGTTTCAATTGTTGAATGTCTATTCATTAGAATGAATTTTATTTATACTGAATGAAATAGAGGAGATAAAATAACGACCCAGGAGTTGTCCTGATACTTTTCAATATAGGTGATTGAAAATTCATAATAATTGTTATTTGTTTTGAGTCAGAAAAATACAAAATTTCCAAATAGTTGATACAGACTACACAATTTTATTCGAACATAACTTTTTCAACTATTATTTATCAACATTGATGTTACAGGCTTCAGAATGTGCAGGCAAACTTTTGGTTTTCCATTCCACATTACCATCTGCAGAAGCACCTGGCAAACTTAAAAATCGTGATGACCGCAAAGTACTAGGAACTGATAAAGAAAAGACAGTTTTAACCCCTCAAAGTCAGGTTTACAATCAGTTGGGTCAGGATTGTGTTGGAGCTGGGTGTTCTGTAGACTTGTTCATATTCAACAATTCATACATTGACATAGCTACAATCAGTCAGGTTTCGAGATTGACAGGTGGAGAAGTCTTTAAGTATACATATTTCCAAGTAAGTAGATCTTATTATTTGTTAATATCACAGCTAAACTGAAAGAAACGTAGCTGAAAGGATTTCAATCAAATTATTCAAGTTGCTATTTGAATCATTTGATTTCTTTCAATTTAATAATTGATGAAAATCAGAACATTAAAAGTTTATTAATTATGAGAGGTGAAGCATATAATATTTTGATATATTGTGTAGCAGTTCCGTGAATGATATCTGATTCAATTTCATAATGAATGTTTGGAGTACCAACTGAATAAAAAATAGTGTTTTTTGTATAATTCAATGTTCATATAAAAGTAGTTTTTTCGAGGGGTCTTTTTCTTCCAGTTTGTGTCTGAAAGTTACTTATTTACATGAATTAAGCATCTTTGTATAGAGTTTATAAAGATGGAGAAGTAGAAAACCAAAAACTTTTTTTCCCAAGTACATACTATAAAATAAAATATTTGAAACATCTATAAATTATGACCAAAATATGTCGGGAAAAATAATCCATTATTGTAAAATAACCACCACTCCAAAATTAGAAAATTAGGAGATATGTTATCAATTATTATAAAGTCTACAAAAAGAAACTTAATTTTGTAGTGTTTGGGTTTCTAATCGATTCCTTAATTTAAAATGAACTAAACCAAATGTGGAGAATACTTTTTTAAATTTTGTGTTACATTTCACTGTATCTAGTATTTTTAAATTGTATTGTTCATGTTTATTTGTATTAGGCACTATTTTTTGTATTATGTATTCATATTCTGTGAATAAATATAAAATAAATGAATATGCCACTCAAAATGTGACAATTTTTAGCTCAGAGGGACTCAAATCTATACGAAATGTATTACAGAAGTTACATTGGGCAAAATTACCCCCAATTGTTAGGAAACATTATATGTTTAATTACAGAACTATAAAAATTATTTGTGTTTTTTGTCACACTATTGAAAAAAGATGTAGTGTAAGGAAAATGAGATCTTCAAGCATTTACGAGTACTTTCATTTTGTCTATTCGACACAGCTTAGTAGCAGTAGTAGTTGATTGTTATAAATATTCATGGATGTATATCTCTGCTCATTGAAAAATTTGCTCACATATCACCATCCCATTGAAGGGTAAGACGCAAATGACAATCATCTCATCAGCGTTGTTTTCACTATAGCGTAAATTTCATTATAATTTCTCAGGATAGATATAACGCAATTTTTTTTTGTTGAATGAGGCCCTGCAGGCAAAGTTACCCCAACTTACTTTACTTACCTTACACAATCATTTTGTTGAAAGAAACCGAGATTTGGAATAAAAAGTGTTCAAAATATCACAAAGTTCATTTATTTCAGGTACTAAGCACACTCGGTTGATGCTATAGTAATAATGCTAAGCACCTAAAACATATTCATCAATTATTAATACTATCCAAAAACTTGTACAAAAACCTTTTTTTAGGCTGATATCGATGGCGAACGACTAAACTCTTCAATCTACCAATCTCTTAATCTACCAAAAATGTTTAAGAGAAAGTATTTTATGTACAAGTACAATTCAACTATCTGGATTAATTCTTTGATTTTCATCGAAACAATCTTGAGAGATCAAATCGTGAGGTGTAGTTTTTGAAATTACTGTGGATCTTCATCAAGTAACGGCCTAATCAATCCGGAAAAAAAACAATTGAATGGATGAATATTTAAATTTTTTTACACTGGTACATGAAAGTCAACCTCTATTGAAATATGACAATAGTTATTCAACTTATCCAAATTCAATCAAAGAAAATGTTCATCTTTTTTAAATTTCAACTAAAATTGTGAAATAAATCAATATATGTTTGAAAAAGTAGTAAGGAGTCGAAAAATTTTAAATATTTTTATCCAATTCATTTTGCAGCAGTTTATATGAGAACTAATAATTTACGTTGAATTTTGTAATAATTCTTTCATGAGAATCTATGAGATTATCAGTTTGTGAGAATCACTTCACTTTAGCAATTATATTATTACTATTGAAGTACATGGGAAAAATGTGTTGATATAAAAATGAAAGAATTTAAATACCTCTCTTTTTGCAAGTTTCAATCTATATTTCTACTTTCTAGATTGTGATAAGGCAGTAGCAATAGAAATAAAGCATGATGATAAACTATCTGAAGAGGCAGGAGTTTACCTGCAAGCCGCCTTACTCTATACTTCATGTTCCGGTCAAAGAAGACTGAGAATAATAAATCTTTCCCTGAAAACTTGCTCACAAATGGCTGACCTTTATCGTAGCTGCGACCTGGACACATTAGTAAATTACCTGAGCAAGCAGGCAGTATATAAATTACTGGACAACAACCCCAAATTGGTAAAAGATTCTATTGTGAGCAGGGCAGCACAGATATTAGCGACTTATAGGAAGAACTGTGCAAGTCCCAGCAGTGCTGGCCAACTGATTTTGCCGGAGTGCATGAAGTTGCTTCCTCTATATGTCAACTGCCTCTTGAAAAGTGATGCTTTATCTGGTGGATCTGAAATGACGATTGATGACAGATCTTTTGTCATGCAGGCAGTAATGACTATGGACATCCCTACTTCTATGAATCACTTTTATCCTAGGCTTATTCCAGTTCACGATATTGATCCTACAAAGGAACCAGTTACTATTCCACCACCTGTTCGTTGTAGTATTGAGAAGATGAACGAACAAGGAGTTTATATATTAGGTGAGTTCATTTCATTTAAAACTTCATTATTAGTAACACAAAGGCGTGTGGAATGATAATTTTTCCTAGTAACGTCTTGTATTAACAAATGTAAAAGTGTTTTCACTTTTCAGTGAATGAAATTCATTGCAATTCAACATAAAATATTTTTTGTCCCAACTCATTTCATTCGATGGTTATTTTTCAAAAACTTTGTTTTATTTTCGAAAAGAGACATTTTTTTGACAATTAAAGATATTGTTTCTTGGATTATTTACTGCAATGATCTTTTTGGATTAGTTTTTGAAACACTACTTCTGAAATTTTGGTTGTGAGATCAAGCAATATTTTTGATTTGTTCTCTATTTTTTTAATCAGATTTCTGAGACGACACATTCTTTTAGTGTTTGTTCAATATATTTTACTGATGCAATATTCATTTTATGGTCACCAATATCAATATTTTTTTGACTTGATATTAATTGAATCAGAATAATTGTTGACATACTTTGAATTTCTTTGGAATAAAGTTCAGCAAAAATGATGGAACACTTTTTAGAATCTGCTTTATACTTTTTATTTATCTTCTTCAAAATTTCAACACAAACTTTGCTCCCACTGCTTCTCGAGAAGAGGAGAGTGTTCTATATGCAGTGTTTGTGTTGGATTAGATACGATAATCAAATTTTTTTTCTCAATTATTTTTTGTGAACGTTTCAACTTTGATTTCTTTACCATCTGGAAATTTACCCTTCTCATTTCGGATTCAGGTATATGTTGTGAATATTGTCGGAATCTTTCATTTTTGGAACTAGTCTGCTGAATAGTTACATGTAAATTTCTGTGATATTGTCATGAAAATGTCAGAAAATGAATAAATACCAAACTTTTCACAGAACTTTTCATATCTCTGATGATGTTTGTAGATATTCAAATATTTCGTTTCATTTCAGATAATATATATTGATGAACATAATGAAATACATTAACACTAAATTATTTGTTTCAGAAAATGGAATTCACATGTTCCTTTGGTTTGGCTTAGGCGTAAATCCTGAATTTATTCAAAAAGTATTTGGGGCTCCATCAGCCATACAAGTTGACATCGATAGGGTTGGATTACCGGAACTAGATAATCCCCTTTCCATAGCTGTTAGGACTATCATTGATGAAATACGAATAGAAAGGCATCGTTGTATGAGAGTGAGTATAAAATATGATTTATATAAGTTGAAGCTTAGTTTTGATCTCATTTTTCAATCTCATATTTTTCGAAATACATTTTTCAAATTTACAAACAATACCTCACCAATAATGAAACTTTATATCAGACAAAAAATTCAGCTTGTTGCAATTTATACTATTTTTTTCATGTAATGCTGATGATGGCAAATATAAAAAAGGGGACATGATGAACAATGAAATAAAATAACGAAACTCCACTTAACACATGCAATATATTTAAGTAAATAATGAAATATTTTCTATTTGGTGGTAGATGTTGAAATTAATAATGTGTTGAATAGTTATGTCGACATTTAGAGGTTGTCCTCGGAATAGAGCACCCCATACAGTTCAATTTTACCTAGGATTGTACTTTCAGAAGAGATAAGTACATGGAGTGTACCCGGGATCCAACCCAATATCACTGATTTATACGTCATATTAGTAAGCTTAGGATAATTCTTTCGCGACAACCTGTTTTACATTCAAAAATGTTTTACATTTACTTTTAAAGCCAGTTGAAGTTTCAAGTTGAGTATTTCTCCTTAGAAAATGATCTTATTATAATAATACATAATATTGACAACACTATTCGTTTGTCCATATAATTAATCTTTTTTCAACATTTCCTTTGTGTTGAAGATGAGTTGGATCTATTTTATTTACTCATTTATTAAAATGGAAAAATCGCAATTGTAGTGTAGCATATGATAGCAGAGATGTAAAACACCAAACTTGTCAGGGAATCCTTAATTATTTCTTTTTGTTGAGGTGTTTAGTGAGAATCAAGATTACCCTTACGAAAACTTCATTTATGGAATTGACCGAAAACTCGACTCATGAGTATCAAAAGTTCAATGAGGGCCACAACATATGTCTGTTGAAGAGCTAACCTTCGAAATCGATCGCCGATAGAGAAATCGCTTCCTTATCTCTCTGCTGCTTTCACTTTGAGCAGGCAACTAAATGGTACTAAAGCCGAAATGAGTTGCATCAATGACCAATGCTATGCAGCACCGTTTTGATCTGTCATAGGTCTCAACAGAGGTAGCATTCAGGTTGTGGATGCAAGATTTCTGTCTTAAAAAGAACAATCCTGTGTTAAGTAGTGGCGAGTAAGTAGTTTGTCACTACTGCTAAACTCATTCTATTCTAAGAACAACTTTGAGATTCTCAAAGTAAGAAAGTAGTTGTGAACAACTACTAATGCAGGTTAATACACAGATACACAATGCTCTTGGGCGTTATATCAATGAGTATTATATTGAGTTGACCATACTACAGAAGCATATGACATATCGTGCTTTAAATAAATTTATGATCATATTCTTGTCAATTGGAAAAGTGAATAAGATCTGTTTTTTCATGAATTGAAAAATGAATTGTGATCATTGAAAAAATTTGATATCTGTCTAACTGCAGAAGTACGTTTATCTTTCAATGTTTTTTCATTTGGTGCATAGAAATGTCACCGGCATAGGCCGTATAATGAACTCTAGAAATAAGGAATCTATATTGTTCGTGTACAAAATGAACATAATTGGGTCCAGATTAGTTTCTTGCGGCACACCTAAACCTAAGTTCAAAGGTCCAGAATTTATTATACGGATTTCCTTATTCATGAAATCACCTACCTTCAAACAGATATCTGTTTCTGTTGAAATCTGTTTTTTTGCTAACAAGCTGTGGCCGCTCCTACATACGACAACTCTCAAAAGTCAAAACTTGTGCGAGCTAAGGACTAACAGGGTCTTACCTTTTTAATGAAGATATCCAGCTTACCCCATATCATATTGCCGTATTCAAATCACAGAAGATCGCCTCGAGGCACTCATCTGCCTCATTACATCTGATTATGTATAATGAAAAAATAGCAGTATTTGTTGACTTTTCTGCATGAAACCTATATTGCATTTTAGTCAATATATTGTGTGTATTCAAAAATTAAGTGAGTCGGACTAAGACTGTATATCAGAATATTTTTCATAGCCATACAGGACTGTTACTGAATGACAGTTTTCCATTATAGTTGTTTATTTTCTTACGATGATCATCTCTCATGGGAAGGCACTTTTTACAAATGATGGAATAATCAGATATATTAAGGGTTTTATTATTATTATTGTTAGAATTATTTTCAGTATGTGCATAGGAATGTCATCTGCTTCAGATTATTTCATATTGTTCAGTTTATTCTTCAATAAGGATGATAATTCAGTTTCTGTGAATGGTTTCAATAACGTACGTTGTATACACTTTGAAATCATTTTTATCGATATTGATATGTGCAGCTTTACTAACTGATGTTTAACTGACCAAATTGAGCAGTCTCAATGAAAAAATTATTGAACTTAATTTACTGCATGAACTGGAGATAAGATGAGTTTATTCGTGAAATTTCATAATATATACAAACAATATTAATCAAACTTCTGAATAAACTGACAAATGCATAGAAATTCGAGTTTTTTTATGATGTATGAAAAAACACTTCTAATAAGGAGTTCGGGAGACTTGCTAAACACTTGTTGGGATAGGTTATGTAACCTAACCTAACTTATCCTAACAGTTATTAGGCAGGTCTATATATCAAGAGCGTAAAGGTTCTTGGTGATGTACTCATGAACTGAACTGGTGTTGGATAGAACAAATCTCCGAAGAGTACCACCCTCGGAGGTATCTTCTAAAAATAGAAAAAAATTTCAACCTCCAAAGTCGTTAGTTATAGACAGTGATAATTTTTTCTAACCCAAAGTTTATCATCGAGTAAAAGCCAAATTTTCATAATCTAATTTTCATATTCAAAACTAAATTATAAATAATATGAATTCAAGACTGAATAGTCATAATTTCAATTTTTTCTTTTTCAGCTAACATTGGTTAGGCAACGAGAAAAATTGGAACCTGTTTTCAAACATTTTCTTGTCGAAGATAGAGGCACAGATGGTTCTCCTAGCTATGTTGATTTTCTGTGTCATATGCACAAAGAAATTAGGACGTTGCTGAGCTAGCAGAGGTGATCTTTAGGTTACGGATAAGAGATTTTAAGAAGCTGTGGGAATGTAATCGAAAGTTTGTGTTTGATGGATTTTATAACATACTTCAATTACAATCATCCATTTCCAGACGTGCTGAACAGAATATATTTTATTTTTATTTGTTATATGATGTATATTAGAATGATAAAGCAAGCTTGCCCCGAAGATCATTTTCATGAAGGTAATTAAGTATTATATTTCGACGATTTTGACTTCTTTCTTTACTTCACTACTGAGTATAAAATTCAAGAGGAAGGCAGTAAAATGGACATAAAAGAACTGGATATGTTTTTAAAAACTATCAAGTAGCGATGTTTAAATGAAAACTGAACGTTTTACAGTTGCTTTGTTTTGACTTTTATTAATGAATCAAAATTTTATTTACTTTGGGTGCGAGTTAGCTCTAGGAGAGAAATTATTGCTAGATTTATATTTAAGGATTTTGTAACTATATTTTATTTGTACTCTATGGTTATGTAATATAGATACTAATAAATTACATTTGTTTCTGTTATCTACTGTAACTACCAAACCTGAGGTAACAACATTATGGCAGTGCTAAGGGTGTCCTTTTCTTCCAGTGTTAATTTTGCTTTTCAAGAAATCCATAAAAATGAACGTTCTACTAATAATAAGCTAAATAAAATTAATCAGTGTTTTATTATGGCCGAATTGAGGCAAATTGAATTCAGATCACATTTAAAAAAACAAAAATGATATCAGAAAATCAAGCAAAAATGTACATGATTACCCGAATTACAGTAGAATGCTATAGACCCAGTACTCCACTAACCCCAGTTCTGGGAGGATGATGGAATCATAGAGGGAAGTTTTGGATGTGCCGTGAATTTTCTCGATAATCGACAACGTCAATTTTCATGGAATTTACCGCTTTTGGCCTATCAGACTGTCGACGTTTCGCTTGTTAAATCATGATAAAGAGAAGTTTTGTTCTGGCTGATATTACCACTTCGCCAGAAAGATTCCAAGTTTTGATTTATTTCATATCGTATTCATATTTTGAAAGACATGAAAACAATGTTTAGAGAAAAAGGAAACAAGAAGATGTTACCAATAGGTCAAAATTTGCAAAACGATGGCAAATAACGATTTCAGCACTCCTTAGTTTATGGCAAATTTTAAAAGATAAGGGATTGATTAAGTTGAAAATGTAATATTTTGTACTTTTATTTTTATATGTATTCAAGAGTTGTATTCGTATCAGGGCTTAATGAATGAATAAATGAATAATTCTATTAAATTGTTTTGTTCTTATTTATAGCACATTTTCTGGATGTCATTAACTGAACAAAAAATATGCCAACTCATTTCCCATTTCCGTTAATAAAATAATGCAATAGTCATTGCATTAAATACTATAAAAAATAAAATAATTTCACCTAGTGACGTATAGTTTTAAATCGATGCAGTAAGGAATGAGCAAGTGCTGTCGTTGAGAAAACTGACAACAGTTCATATATCATTAGTAGTGCAATACAATAGTTACGTTACAGAAGATTCCTAACTCTATTACACTCATCCCAATTTTCTAAGAAGTATTTTATTGTATGGTATATTCTTATCATCAAAAATTTTTTATTATTATTATATTCATACACTGGCACCACTGTTGCCACATCTACCCCGTACGGGGTATTTCTATCCCTCTTGAACTTAATTTCACCCTCTCGCTCCTCTCAAGTGAATCTAAGCCTGGTGCCAGTCTGGCACCACGCTTAGAGAAATCGTTTAGAAACAAAAGTTGTTGCCGATTGATGTTTCACCCATTTCTACTCCCTATATAGGATGTTATGCAAACATCTGTCTGATCAAATACTCTCCTTTCTAGTGCCATGATGGATATTAATTTATATTGTAACGAATCTGAAGCCACCACTGACCGATATGTCGGCCAGCGAACAAACACATGACATCACCGCAAAAGGAATGCAGTCGGCAACCGCCGATAAAACTCTAGTTGAGTACCGAAACAATTACAGGATTCTAGAACGATCGTTACCGATTTATAAGGCCTGCTTCTCGTCCCAAGAGGGCAGTTGAGTTCAGAAAGTGAATCGAGCGGTTAAACAAAGAATTCAAATAGTGGAAATAAATTAAGTGCTAAGTGTTGTAAATAAATTGCTTGAAATAAATTTGTTTAAGACAGTTAATTCTTTAATTTGTTACGATATCAAACAAATTCTTGTACAATGTTCCTCAGAGAACAGCAATCAAGTTACAAAGCATCCTAGCTAAAACCAATGAGCAGCGCATTTTGTTTCGATACGGACAGGGTGACCACCTGCAGGCAAATCTGGCATCTATTTGTGCAATGTTATTCAAGGAGAATAATTTTGCAGTGGTACTTCCGTACTTGTAAAAAACAATGGGTATTATTCTTTATATAGTTGAGAATAACCACCTGCGTACATGTATGTTTCATGGTTGTCGCATCTCAAGAAGACCGGCTGTGTTGACAAGCAAATCAATTCTTTTCATATGTTAGAAACACTCCGCTTTCCGAACTTTGTTCGATTTTATACGTTTTATATTATTTATACACTATACAGTCCAATTAGCTCCTCATCCATAACTTTCAAATCGACTGCAAAATTCGAACCAAACAGATAATAAGCGAGTAAAAACGAGGAACAATTTGAATAAATAATTCGAAATAATGTTTCATAGTATTATACAATACATTAAATTTGTTTTACTGTCGAGCAGTTTATATTTATTATTCAATTGATCATTCGAGATCATTGTTAAGAATATAATTGAAGGAAGATAATGAAAGTAACAGTATCATAATTGAATTTCATTAGTTCGGACTTCTATTGTCTAATATTATAGAAAATGATTTGAAATCCCTGAAAGAACCAATGAAAAAGAAAAATTAAAAGAAGAATAGCTGATTGCAGTGGCGCATTTGCTTTTTCAGCTGCAGGACAATCCGGAAAAACCTGCAGCACCACATCATCTGAAGATCTTGATCTGCCAATAAAAAATTAAGAGATTCCAAGCCAAGTTACTTCACGACGTTTCGATTGTTAGTATATACAATCATCTTCGGGTGATGACTGGACTAATTCCTCCGAGAGATGACTATTTATGGGTCATTCGAGTACTTTCACTTATCTCCGCTTTCCTCTTTCCGCGTGAATTGGCCATTTTTTGCTTGATTATGGGTTTCTATATGTTGCGTATCCCTACGCTAGCTTGGTTGAAAACATTGTTGGACAACATGTATGCGGCTTCTTTGAATTTCCCCCTAAACCAATGTTCCTTCCTGTGTATGATCTCAGCTTGGGACCACTCGATGTTATGTTGATGGGTCCAAACATGCTCTACTATTCCTGATTTGCTGGTTTTCCCTCGCTGTCTGTGTTTCTTGTGTTCGGTAATGTGAACTTTCATTGGCCTCTTAGTTTTACCGATATAGGATTTTCCGCACTCATAGGGTATCCGGTAAATACTATTCTTGTAATCACAGTCCGCGTTTGGTGGCCTGGTTTTCGTGGGGCTGCTACGAAAACCGTTTCCGGATCTGAAGCTGGTTCTGATGTTGTACTTGGACCCAATTCTTCTTATCCTTTCCAATAATCCTCTGATGTAGGGAAGTGCAAGCACTGGTTGTGACGGCTTCTCTTCCTTGCGAGGCTCCTGCTGAGTATTACAGAGCCCGAAAGCACGGTCTAATAGAGTCTTGATGATTCCCCTTTTAGTCGATTGATTGAATAATTGAAGATTAATCATCAAGACTCTATTAGACTGTGCTTACATGTACTGTTATATGAAGGAAAGTCTCGAGAAGGAACTAGACATCATCAAAAATGATGCCTACTCCAAAGAGGTGGTGGAACAGACTTTGGCTGAAAGACAACAGCAGGAATTCAAATAAAAGTATCATAAATGTAATGATCTTATGTAACATTGAAGCTGGCATAAGCGATATATTTCTAGACGTAATCCGTTTTAATTTTGTTGTTCTTTGCAGCCACTCATGGCTCACTTGCAATGAGGTTTCTACTTCGAATACATCTATATTGATCATTATTTCAACACTTCTATACTGGAAATTGAATTATATGTTACATTGTATTTCATTTTTATTTTTCTCCCGCGTGTTTTACCCATCCCGAGACAAGTGTTGACTCACTTATCGAGTAAAATCATTTATATTCTGTTTTGTTGAATAAGTCGAACTAATGATGTGCATGATTATTGCAGGCATAGACTCGAGTCTAATATCAAAATTCCTGACATTCTTTCCATAATGTCGCTCTAAAACTGTTTAGCGTTCACATGCTCAATTTTGCTTTGAAGTTGGAGCATATCGCATGCATTATATAAATTTAGTGTACATTGTCGCAGAATGGAATGGGAGGCGGATATGCGCTTTTCATTTACCGCTACGAAATGTTTGAGAATAATAAACCCGGGACGTGTTTTTAATATAAAACAAGGATGCTAATTAAATAATGCGGTTGACCACAGCAGTTTGTGAATATTTTTTACGGATCCGTTTTTCAAGTGGCATATTTCTGCGGGAGAGTCGGTATACTAGGGGTACTATTTATATTTTGGGAATAGCGAATAACAATAATTTTATATTCGTCTTTTGAAGCACCACGGTCGAACTTTATAATAATTTCCTTACACTACTTCACGCGAGCCTTTTTTTGAGCGATTGATACATTATGGGGTATCCAACGAGAACAATTTTTTTTTAAACTGAGTGTTCATGCAAAATCGAATGTATTGAAGTGGAACTAATATGCAAGTGTGCCTCTATCTCAGTGGTCGCCAACCTCTTCAATGTGTTGAGCTACTTTGTTAATTTTGGAATAAACAGCGAGCTACCCACACGGAAGCCACGTAACGCAACGTAAATGAAATAATCCACAGTTAATTTATCATTATATGTATTTATTTTACTATTTAACTGGTAATACATAATACATAG